CAGCCTTCCCTCTCTCTGGCAGAGGAGAGATGAGGCTGCTGCAGGGATCTCCTGAGCTGGCCATCTGCAGGTCCCTCGCTCTGCTGCCCACCTCCCTGCCCTGTCCAGCCTCAGTGAGTCCTCTTGGCGATGTCTCCCTCCAGGTTCCAAGCCCTGCGTCTGACGATGCTGCAGCGCCTGGAGCAGCTGGTGGAGGCCAAGTAACTGGCCAACACCTGCCTCTTCCAAAGTCCCCAGCAGTGGCAGGTGCACACTGAGCCCTGGTGGCTGGCCCCGGCTGGTCACATTGACTGATGGCCACTGCCTGAGGAATGGAGCGCCTGTGCGTCTACCTGTCTGAAGCCTGAGCACCATGATTCCCACAGCCAGCTCTTGGCTCCAAGATGAGCACCCACAGGAAGCCGACCGAGGCCTGTGGGGCTAGGAACTTGCTGGGTCAGATCTGTGTGGCCAGCCCTGTCCACACCATGCCTTTCCTGCACTGGAGAGCAGTGCTTGCCCAGCCCCTGCGGCTTTAGCTTCATCCGCTTACTCAGTGCCTGTCCCGGAGACCCTGTGGATCCACAAGCCCCTGTCCGCTTCCTTCATGTGAGATTCTTGTCTGCCCTCATATCATGCTGCCCCGCAGGAACACTGTTGGGAAAAGCAGGGCCTGCCAGCAGGTATGAGATCTAGCCTGCTTTCAGCCGTCACCTCACCACAGCGTCCCCGGCTTCTAAGCCTCCAATGTCACCCTGTGAGTCTGGCACAGCTCAGCCCCAGCACAGAGGTAAGACCAGGAATAAGGCCACAAGTATCTCACTTTCTCTGCAGAAATCAGTCTTTACTTCATCAGAGAGACCTAAAGGGATTCTTAGAAGGAGCTTGCTGCAAGAAACACGGCCATTCAGTCACATTGACGAGGGTCCACATGGCATTGAGAGGTTGCTGCCCTGTGTGGATGAGAGTCCACGGCTGCCCAGCAGCAGCTCCGGAAGGCAGTGTTCAGCCCCATCACCACTGTCCAGTGGGTGCCTGTGTACCTCTTGCCTTTTCTGGGCTTGTGTTTCTCTCTTCTAGTGGGTGGGGATGACTTTCAATACTTCCCCGGAAGGAAGAATGATAAGGAGAAATGTCTGTTTTGAGGAAAGGGCTTTGAATTCCCTAGGGCCAGATACTGAACAATTTGTGTTTGTGACTGATGGAGAATTTCAGGAATGAATGAGACAGCCTTTGCGAAACTATGCAACAGTTTACATCAGTCATGTGAAGTATTTGTCTAAAACAGAGCAAACTGAAGACCAAATTAGTCTCCTGTTGAGGTCCATGGATGGCAGATTTAAAGGGAAGAACCACAAAGGCTTGCAAAGATAGGAGAAGCTCCATCTCTAAAGCATGTAGAAGCTCCTTACGGGTGCCCATCAAGAGCAGAGCTTGGGAGCCACCATGCTGTGCGGAACTGTTTGTCAGGGCAAATGTCACAGCAGGATTTCCCCAACCCAGCTCCATCATCACAGACACAGCTGCAGGGGAGGCCTGTTCACTGTTTTGGCGACTCTGCTCCTTTGGCAGCATAGATCCTTAGGTGCTCAATAAAGGCGTGCTGTATTGAACTGAAGAAGTGAGAACCAAGCTTTCTTTTTTTTTTTTTTTCTTTCTCTGCGTCTCCCCTGACTCCCTGCTCTAACTTCTGAAACTCTTATCCTAAACGATGTGTGGCAGAAGAGCCACAACTTGCTGCTCTAGGAGCCGACATGACTCCTTCATTTCTGTGCATGCCCTGAGGACTAGGGTGGTGCCTGAGGAGAAGCTGCCATGGAACATGCAGGCGTCACTGGTGGGAGCCTACAGTGACCTGGATGATGAGCAATAGAGTCACCCTGAGCCACAGAATCTTAGCATCAGGAGGGCCCCAAGAATTTTCCAGGCTAGGGGCTCAGGTGGGATGGAAGCAGGGCCTAGGAGAGGGTACAAAACAAATCAAACAGGAGCTCCCAGGTAACTGCACTCCCAAGCTATTATTTACAACCTCAGGTGTAGGACAGCTCCTGTCCCATTGTTCAGCTGTAACTGAGTGACTGCCTTGTGCCAGGCCTGTGCTCAGCCCTGGAAGCACAAAGATGGAGCCAGTCTGTCCTGTGTCTAGGGGTCTCCTCATCAGGAGAAGGAGGCCAGACACTGGGAGGGTCAGGAGATAGCTGAGCAGTGAGCCGGCAAAGCTTCTGGGAGTGAGGTGAGGCCGAGGCAGAGTTGGCTAAGAAGTGCATGTGGTGTCACAGGTCAAGATGCACCTGCCAGCCAGGAGCAGGCCAGGTCCTGGCACACAGGAAGCCAGTGGAGCAGGAGACCCTCTCTAAGCACCAGCCTGTTTGGTTGGTTGGTTTGCTTTTGCAAGTTATTACAATATTACTTAAGACCTTTTTGGATAAGTGTCACTTTTAAGGTAGGTGTTATCCATCTAATTTCTGAACATTACGGGTCAGAAAAATCACTAGCAAGTGGCTCAGAAAAAGGGAAAAGGTACACTTCTGCAATCAGCTGAGGAGTTCACACCTTTTTTTTTTTTTAATCAACGTGATATTTGCTGTTCAGAGGCAATCTGAAAAGCTGCAAATTCAGCTCACCTCAACCCCATAATTTCAAAGGTTAGAGGCTGGTCTCTGTGGTTTCCTACTGGTTCCTGTGGGGAGCTCCCGCTTTCTTTCTCCATAGGGCTTAGGGTATTTCTCATATGCCCTGTTGGCTACCTAGTGTCTCAGGTAATAAACATATTCGAAGATAAAGCAAAGATCCCTATGGGAGAGTGTTGTCTCCTAAAATAGGACTGTCTTGCCAGCACAGGCCTCAAGAACCAGAGAGAATAATAAACAGCACAGGATGAAATCAGCATGATTGCAAAAGGACTGGACTCAGGAAAAACAAGTTTGTTTGCCCAGAACAAATTACCAGAAAGGATCAAAAACATCTTGTTTTTCCTCGGTGATAACCACATGCTACCTGGTTGGAATGTTTACCAGAAAATGGAATAAGACCTTCCCACTGGCAAAATAGAGCCAGGGTTCACCCAGGATACATCTGGCCCCTTAGTCCCATGGAAACAAGGCCCAAAGCATATCCAGTCTGACCAGACGATTTGTGGAGAAACCAGCAGTGCAAAATGTGTCCCTGGTGTGTAGGACGCAGGTGCCTTGCAGCTGCGGAGGGGCAGCAGGATATCCTTGCCAGGTGCAGTGGTGGGCAGCAGCCCCCTGCCCTCAGTTCCTCAGTGGTGATCAGACAGGAAGCTTGGTCGATCAGAGCCAAGCAACTGAGTATAAAAACAGCCAGATGCATGGGCTATATTTAGGCCCTGAGAGCTGCGATTGTTTGGGGTCAGGCTAGCTGCTCACATGCCCTGCCCGAGACTCATGTTGTGCAGGGTGGGGCCCTGTGCCCTCCTGGTCAACTTTTAACAGAGATGTTTTCTCAGACCTAGGAATGGGAATTCCCAGGATTTTCTTTCCCAGAGAGTCCAAAGGAAACAGAAAGCCAAGTCTCAGGCTTGGTGGAAAGAACCATTGTTCAGGATCCCTGGGCTGAGAGTTCTTCGGACCACTCTAATTACTGCACATGAGCCACACCTGTAACTGCCTTTCTGGCACTTGAGCTGGGGATCCATGTTGCCAAACACAGACCCAAGGCAGCAGTGGTTCCTGCTGAGACAGTGTGTGTGTGTGTGTGTGTGTGTGTGTGTGTAAGCCAGTGGGGTGCAGGAGACAAAGACACAGGAAAATGAAACTGTCTTGCCAGGACTTTGCTCACCCCAGAAGACTCTTCTTCCTAGAATGAACCCTTCAAATACCACTGGGCTCAGGGGCACACTGGCCCCTGCTGGGTAGTTTCCCAGAGGCACCCCGGCCACTAAGGGATCTGGCCTCTCTTGGGCCAGAATCCCAGAAATATGTGCAGAACGATTCCCAGACTGTGTCCACTCCCTGGCTCCCACGCCCTTGTTCCCTTTCTCCCTTGTGTTTTGTAAATATCATGTGTGACCATTTTCAATAATTTGCATAAAAATTGCCTAGAATTCCATTTGGGAGATACACTGTTATAGAAAGGTTAATAGGCTCTGGAGCCAGACTTTCTGATTTCAAAGTCTGTCTTTGCCACTTATAAATGTGCATGACTTTGGGCGAGTTTCTTGCCTCAATTTTCTCATCTGTGAAATGGGGATTCTGTGTGGAAGAAAACAAACTCAAAGTGCTTTCTACTATTCTTTCACTCAGCAGCAATAATCACAAAAGACTTCTGTGATCAAATGGGGTGGGGAGTTCTCCCCACACACCAACCAAACAATCATTTCTGCAGGGACACCAGCTGGGTGTCCTCTAATTCAGTTTTGACACTATCTACTTGAAGATAGCATCACTTCTCATAGGTTGAGGGCTCAGTCCCATAAGGTGATCTCCACCCGTCCCATTAGTTACAAGCCTTGGCTTCTGGAACTTGTGAACTACCTACTTTAAATTCGGATTCCTATGACCCCCTCCTTGGGTTAATTTGCAAGAGTGTTCACAGAACTCAGCGAAACACATTTCCTGGTTTATTACAAATGATATTCCAAAGGATACAGAAAAAGAAATGCATAGAGTGAGGTATGAAGGGTGCAGAGCTTCCATGCCCCTTCCCCTTTGCACCCCCCAACCCCAGGTGTCACCCTCCAGTAACATCCATGTGTTCAAGTATCCAGAAGCTCGCTGAACCCAGTCCTTTTGGGGGCTTTTATGGAGACTTCGTAACATAGGCATGATTGATTAATTCATCAGCCATTGGCAATCCACTTCACCTTCAGTTGCCCTCCTCCCCAGATGTTGATAGGGTGGAGCTGAAATTGCCATCCTTTTATTCCTGCCATGGTCTTTGCAGTGACCAGCCCCATCCTGAAGCTACCCAGGGGCTGCCAGGCATCAGTCAACTCATTAGCATATAAAACGACATCACTTTGGAGATTCTAAGGATTTTAGAAGTTGTATGTCAGGAAATGGGTAGAAGACCAACTATTTATTTCACAATATCACAGGATAATAACAATTCCTATCTCTTAAGGTTGGTAGAGGTACATTAGTCAACTTTAATGCAATAACAACACCAAGAATCTCAGTGTTACAAGAGCATTTGTTTCTCTAACGTTACGTGGAACTGTTGTAGCTACATGTGAGCTTCTGTGGCTCTGCTCCATGTGTCTTATCATCCTGGGTCCTAGACTAAAGGGACAGCCCCTACTTGGGACATGCTATTCTCAAGGCAGAGGGAAAGAGCAGAGTCCTGGCAGAAACACAATGACTCGAAGCTTCTTCTGGGATGTGGTGTACCCCTTGCATCCAGTCACATGCAGTCGGCCAATTCAAATCAGTGGTCAAGTCAACATCAGTGGGATGGGCATGTGGTTCACAAGGAGGCACCGGAGTCACACCACAAAGTGCAGGGACCAAAACCAGAGAAGGTGGAGCAAACTCTCAGGAACAATCATGCCTCAGGGATCTCATGTGAGATCCTCAAATGCTGCAAACAGTGTGTGGCACACAATAAGCACTCAGTAAGTGTTAACTATTATTATATTAATAGCTAAGCTGAAGGCATAAAACCCTACCTGCTTTCTCTCCTTGTCTTTTTCCCATTCTCCTTTACCCTCCTCTCCCTCATATCTTTCTCCGGCTCTCCCTCCTCTCCATCCTTACTGCCTAGGACTCTGTCCACACTTAGAGACACACACCCCTTTATTTCCTGACTTTTATTTCTCTCTTTTTAAAAAATCCATCCTTGTTTACCCGATGCTTTAGTCGACATACCTCTGGGCCTTCTATGGCTGGCCCAGTTGTTTTCAGGTATAGGAAAAAGGGATAATCCACCTTTATGTAGACATGAAAAGAGTTAGTTTTAATTAGTAACTACCTTACTAACAAAATGGTTTTTTAAAATTATCTTTTTATTTTAGTGTACATAGAGCAGACACTCCCAACAGGTCACGTTTGCTCCTGACACTTTTCCTAAACCATTTCTACATATCTGGCCATTGCTCTTTACCCCCAAACTCTCCAACCACCAGCATCAACCAACTTATAATAATTTAATAATAAAAGTAACAGCAATGACTGTCATTTCTTCTGTGTTATACATTGTGCTAAGTGCCTTACATTATCTCATTTAATCACTGCAATAGTCCAGATACTCTCTAGATTGTGAGTGGAGCTTCTTTGTCCAGACCTCATTCAGCTTTGTGCTTTGCCATATGCAGAGACAGCTCCCTACAGAGCAGAAAGCCTCAGCTTAAGAGAATGAACCTGTGACTTAGTTTAGCCTCCACCAACAACCCACTGTATTACTTCAGGCAGGTCAGCCTCTCTTGCCTCAGTTTACTGATTTGCAAGACAGATATGATCATCTGTGCTTCATGATACTATGGTGAAGATGAGTAACCAGAAGACAAGATGTAAAAGCACTTTGTAAACAATAAGGCATCTTATAAATTCATTCATTCAACAAATATTTACTGAGCGCCTGTTCCCTGCTGAGCACTGTTATTAGCACTGCAGACACAATAAAGAACTAAAGAGACAGATCATGACAGGCATCGTGTGCCACTGCAAGGCCCCTGACTTTGCTGTAATAAGTTGGGAAGTCTTTGAAGGTTTTGAACAAATGAATGACACGATCTGACTTAGGTTTAAGAGGATTACTCTGGGGCTGTGAATAGACTGTAGGGCAACCAGTCAGGAAGCCAGTATAATAATCCAGAAGGTAGATGAAGGTGGCTTGGTGGTTATAGCAGTGGAAGTGTTGAAAGTGGCTCGATAATGAATATATTTTTAAAGATGAAGCCAACAGAATTTGCCGATAAATCACAGGTGAGTTTTGGATGAAAAAAAGAAGCGACAACAATGACATCAAGGTTTTTGGCCTGAGCAACTGGAAAGATGATGGGATCTTCAACCATCCCTGGGAAGAAGACTGTTGCAAGAACAGGTTAGGTAGATATCAGGAATTCATTTTGGGGTATGTTAAGTTTGGGATGTCCATTACACATGCAAATGCAGCTATTGAGTAATCAGTTCGATATACAAGTCTAAAGTTCAATAACATTCACGTCCCACGGTCAGACTGGAGTTACCAATGCGGGAGTCTTCAGCATGCAGCAATAGCATTGGAAGCCAAGAGGTGGAGGAGTTCCCCACGGAGTGGGGGAACTCGGAGGTCAGCTGGTCAGATGACTGAGCACGGCCAGGATGGCTGAGGAGGAGCCTGGAAGGAAGAAGAACCAAGAGAGATCATTACTAATGAGCAACAAAAGGGGTGTGTTGAAATCAGACTTTGGAACCATAAAGAACCACTCCAATTCTGGGTCGTCCGCTTACACACGGTGAACGGAGCAAATTTCTTCTCTGAGCCTTGGTTCCTTTCCTGTAAATGGAGTATAACCGCTCCCATCTTACAGGTGCTTTTCGGTGATAATTAAATAAGGTGACTTCGTGAAAAGTACCAGGCTCTCAAAAAGCTCAGTATTTGTAGGAAGTATGCAGTTTCTAGGTTGGAGAAGCCGGAGTTTGTTTTCAAAAGCCTCGACCACACACAAGGGCGGTTACAGCTCCTGAGGTCCTAGAGGGTCACAGGACGCCTTCCGAGTCGGGGCGGGGGGAGGAGAAAACAAAACCACAAGAAAAAACGAACAACGCTTTCGGGTGGGTCCGGGACCATAGAGGGTCGCTCCGCCTCATTCCTAGAGCGACCGCGGCGGCGCCAGAGCGCGGCGAGGCCCTCACTTCCGGCGGCGCGGGAGGCGCCCAGCGAGCCAGGGTCGTGGCTGATCCCGCGCGGTGAGTGGGCCTGTGGCGAGTGCGGCGCGTGGGGCCCGCGTCGGATACTCAGGTCCGCTCGGGAGCGCGCTGGCCGTAACGAGGGCGGCGCGGGCCGGGGCGATGGCGTGGCTGGCGTCTCCGGCCTCCGGGCTGTGCCTGGCCGCCGGGCGGGGGCGGGAGGGCCACGCGGGCTCAGGGTGGGGCCGCGGCCTGCGCGGCGGGCTGGCCGGGTCAATGAGGAGCGGCCGGCGGAGTGCTGGGGACAGGGGAGGCTTGGAGTGAGGGCCCCGGCGAGGCGCGGCCCGCAGCGGGTGGAACCAGTCGGGTGAGCAGCAGCCCCGGCCCCTTCCGTCGCTCGGAGCGTTCGAGGACTAGATAACGTGGAACAAATGCTTAGGCGGCACAGGGCTGCTCTGAGCGGTTTTCAGATTCAGACTCATTGCAACTTCTAACATCCTGATGGTGTTGCCACTTTATCATTACCCTCCCCATTTTACGAGGAAACTGAGGCACATTCCAGTTAGCTGGGTGTGCAGGAACAGCAGCTTCTGTCACTCAGGTTTAACTTGGTGCTTGCCCCTGCTGCGGAGCTGTGCAAAGCACGGGTCGCCGCGCTGGACTGAGCGATGGAAGATGTGGCTGCCACTAAGAATACAGGCTCTGGAGTCAAACTGCTAGGATCTGGGAACCCGGCCAGTGCCTTCTAGCATTGTGCCCTCGTTTCCTTAACTTCAAACGGAAATAACTGTATAAAGGTGCCGGGAGAATTAAAGAGCTAGTACAGAATCAAGTTACACAGTGTCTGGCACATACTACCTATTAGTATGATTGCCTCATCCGTAGGTGGATTTGACAGTCTGAGTTTCTGACTACATCTGACTTCCATTGTATTAAATGCATGTGTTTTTAAAAATATGTATAATGACCATTATAGTTATTAAAAAAAAAAAAAAAACTCAACAACACCAACACCATGTACCAAACTAACACAGTGTCTCCTGTGTGGTAGATGTTCTGTAAATATTTGCTTAAGTTAAGGACTGAGTAGTGCTAACTGTAATCTTGTGTTATATGCAGCTTGCTCTTATGCTAACCATAATTACAGCTGATGTAATTATTAAATATCCAGATAAAGTCCTGGGCCTAAAGTCTCAATTATACAATAAGATGAAAGGAAAGCAAGAAAAATGATGTTTTTGTTTTCATTTATTTGCTTTATATGCTTGTATGCAAAGAAACCCAGAGTAATTGTTTCTGTTTTAAATTCCACATTCTGGCAAAAGATAATGAAAAATAGTTCCAATAATTGTATTGCTTTTGAAGTTCTAGATTTTCCCACATTGCCACCTATGTGGGGTTTGTAGGGATTTTTGTTGGTTTGTTTTGGCTGTTATTTTAAATAGCCACAAGTCAGCCTTATAAATAAATAAAATTATTTCAGATTTTGAATTTTGCAGCATTTGGGTATTCTAAAAATTCCATCCTACTTTTAACATGTAAACTCATTTTCTCCCCGCTCTCCTTTTCTTGTGTCCTACCTACCATGCTTTTTTCTACTCAGTTTCATTCAACTATCTGGTAAAAGTTCTTTTGCAGTTTTCCTCTCCCCGAAAACAATACTTTTGTTTTGGGTTTTCAACAGATTGCTTTCTTGGATCATTAGTATCTATAAAAACCAATAATAAAGCGTGTCTTCATAGACTAAGTAAACCTACCACTCCCTATAGAGAAGTTTCAATTTTCAAAGCACTTTATGCTACAGAATTAGAGCTAAGCTGTCATCTAGAGCTATGGAAATCGAATGCTAAATACAGATAAATAGGAATATATCATAAAGTAGTATAATGTGTCATTTCTTATTCATTTGGATACTTTAGGCAGTTACTAGTGAGTAGAAGTTTAACACGGAACTAAATATTAAAACATAGTGATATTCTATTACACAAATTTTGATTGTCTTTTGGAGTCATTCCATTCCCATTAAGATTTACCATATCTCCACTTTTTAGTCCTTCAAAATTATGTACTCATTTGGTAATGCCTAGAAAATTTATATTTCACCTCATCACTTTGTTTTTATCCTGTCCCAATAGAAACTCCAGTGCTAAACTCAGTCAAAATTTGGTGATATTTGTTAAGCTTAAACTCTGGAATTGTTAGAATTACTTTGCAAGTATTTCCCCCCATATTATCTTTGTTTGCATTTATACTTTTTAAATTTAAACATGAATGCAATTTTGGTGGTTTGAAGAGATATTAAAATTGAATAATTAACAGATACCTATATTTTTTTTCTGATCATCTATACTTTTTTTTTCCTTCTACACACAGAAAATTCTGAGCTGTGCACCGCTAGGAAATGAAACAGTAGTTCAGAAGAAGCCTGTAAACTCTCTTACAAATACATTTGGTTATTCACCATGAGGTTAGCAAAGCCTAAAGCGGGTATTTCTCGGAGCTCAAGCCAAGGAAAGGCCTATGAGAACAAGCGCAAAACAGGCCGGCCACGGCAGAAGTGGGGCATGACTATTCGATTTGACTCAAGCTTGAGTAGACTCAGAAGAAGCTTGGATGACAAACCCTATAAATGTACTGAATGTGAAAAGAGTTTCAGTCAGAGTTCAACTCTTTTTCAACACCAGAAGATCCATACTGGAAAGAAATCCCATAAATGTGCTGATTGTGGGAAAAGTTTCTTTCAGAGTTCTAATCTCATTCAGCATCGACGGATCCATACTGGGGAAAAGCCCTACAAATGTGATGAGTGTGGAGAAAGCTTTAAACAGAGCTCAAATCTCATTCAGCACCAGAGAATTCATACTGGAGAAAAACCCTATCAGTGTGATGAGTGTGGCCGGTGTTTCAGCCAGAGCTCCCACCTTATTCAACATCAGAGAACCCACACCGGGGAGAAACCCTACCAGTGCAGTGAATGTGGCAAATGTTTCAGTCAGAGCTCTCATCTGAGGCAGCACATGAAGGTGCATAAAGAAGAGAAGCCTCGTAAAACCCGGGGCAAAAATATCAGGGTGAAGACTCACTTACCCTCTTGGAAAGCTGGTACAGGAAGGAAGTCTGTGGCTGGTCTCCGTTAAGTATAGGGCTTTTTGACAGCTTTTTGAGCCCCCTTGAGAAAAAATAAAAAGTAAAAAATGAATCTTTTTTAGAGATAGAGATGCTTTATAGTAGATCACTTAAATACTGGATCTTTTGCTAGTGTGAAAACATTGGGAATTTAATGACATTGAGCTGAAAGAAATTACATGAGTCCAGCTACCCTCATTTCTTTTTTATGTGACATGGAGCACAAAGAACTGAAAATACGTTTTGAGGGAGCATGACATTGTTGACCTAATTTGAAATTACTTCCGTTTTCAAACACCATCATGATTTGCAGATACATTTTGAGAAAAACCATCATGTTTTGAGGATACATTTGTGAAAGTGCAGGCATGCCAACGATTACTCAGTTTTAGGACTGTGGAAGAAAAAATTAAAAGGGAGAAGAAATTAATTCCACTACTTTTGAAGTTCTGCAACAGACGAGATTTTGTTTGTAAAGTTTTGTAGTATATTAACCATTGGTTTATGACTCTAGATTCAACATATTAAAATGTATTCAAGCTCACAGATTTTTAATCAGTAAGGCCCATCTATATTAGTTCTTTTATTTCTTCTCCTTGTTGACAGCTGTTAATTAAAGGAGTAAGGATTTCCCTGTTTGTTTGTTTTTTAACCAAATTCTTAGAGATGCTATAGAATCTAAATGAGAACTGAATTGAACCTTAAGTCTCCTATTCCTACTAATAGAGTTCTTTGTGATGGTAACTGCTGTGTCATTTGTTTTCCACAAGTTGGGATGGATTCATGTCGATCCATTCCCATGTCCTTGACCTCTTCTGGCATTCTTTTGTGCTCTGACAAACTGAGCCAGCCTTTTAGATCTACATGAATAAACGAACTATTTTACCAAGAAAAATCTCAGCTTGCTTTCTGCTAATTAAAAACCTACAATTTACACACCTCCCTGCCTTCAAGACTGTGAGCTTTAGATAGCCCTGCTTAAATGTTTGTCAACAACAAGAGTCATGTAATGTGTCAGTGCATTGTAGCTCCTTTGAAATTTAACTCTTTCTATGTTACATGAATTGTTTTAAGGAGTCCGGCAAACATGTTTATTCACTTCCATGAGAATGGTGCCAAGTGTCAGACTCTGATGAGCCCTCAGCTCAGGTTTTAATTTCTATTGAATGCTAACATTCTTCTGATTTTTTGGTATCTTTTATATCGGTTTCTGCTGTATTAATGACAATTATTCATGAAAATAAAAAATGAAATATTTTGTATACTACTACCTTCTGTTTATTTTTCTCCTGGGGAATTGCTTTAATTATTTAGACACTAGATCTAAAATCACAGCTTTTGGATGGATCACTTGCTTTGCCTGTTTTTGATTTCCTCACACTTGAACTTTGCCTTCCTCCTGGCCTTGCATTTGAGCATAGGGCCATAGAAGTTGGCCTTGTTATGGCCTTGTTGACAAGTGTCATTCCGCAGAATATTCACAAGGTGTTTTGTAAGCATGAGATGATCACAGTTTTTTACGAAAGAAGTGATCTTTGGCCGCCCTGTTACATCCAAGTCACTCCTTGGCAGGACTGTGGCTATGGGGCCTTTTTGAGGATTTATCAATGCTCTTCACATTAGTGTTGTGTCTGGAATAGCTTCAGGCCAGGGCCAACACTTCTTTCCTAAATTTCAGGAATTTGCCCATTCTGACAGCAAACAGGGCTGTGCACAGTTGTGATATTAAAAATAATTAAGCAGTATGACCTTCAGGACAGCAGAAGAATTGTCACAGACTAAGGTCCCTTGTGAGCTTTGAGCATGGGGATGCATTACTCTGTTCCTCCACTGTGTTG